CTGCGACCCTTGATGAACATCTTCTACAGTCCTACTTTTTGTACCTGGTTTGGGTTGCGGGTCCCTCACAGACTGTCGCTGTCCCGGGTTTGTGTTTGCGTGGAACTGTTAGTTATTTCTGGAATGAGGTTTGAGATCTTGTGTATTGTTTCTCTGCTCTGCTCGTATCTGTCTCTCCCTCAGCTCAGTCATGTCTGGGCCTCTGTCTCATGTGCACTGAGATCAGTTTGCTTCATTATGTTTGTTTGCTCCAGCCGGGCTACGGTTAGGCTGCATTTGGGTCCTCGCTCCACCTCACAGCGCACTGTTGTCAGTGCTACTGGTTTCAGTCAGTGTCCTGTTTATAAGGTTGGAGGCCTACACTCAGCTGAGACTGAAGTAGACTTGGATGTCTCGAGACCACTTTTACGTGGTCTCGGTCTTGTCTCGGTCTCGCCGTCTCAGATCGACATAGTGGTCGGGAGATCTGGAGTCAACAGTTTCCATGACACACAACGTAACGTTCGATGATGTGTCATTTCAAAAGCATCAGCTCTGAGAGCCGTGCTTACAGAGCGCTTTGTACTGAATCAGACTCGACTCCCATTGAGCGAGAGCCGCTCCTCACTTAATGTCCTTTGGCTGCTCAGCTCTCACACAGTGGCTCAGCTATGCTCCAATCCCGCCGTATTGTAGCCAATCACATGTGAGGATATAGGATAATATCATTGCGTGAAAAACAGAGAGCGTGAGAGTCACGTGGAGCGTGTCTCTGTCCTCTCAGTGAGTGAGACAGTGGACAGCGGTGAGGAGGGCTGTGCATCGCAAAAACACATAATATGCCCGACACCCGTAAACGAAGCAGCATCTGGCTGCAGTTTAAAGACGTTTTTGTCTCGGTCTTGACTACAAGTCTAGATTGAAGAAGTCACCTGATGATGATGATGAAACGTTTCTCCCACTGAAACATCCAGATGAACACAGACACGTCCTGACTCCAGTACATGCCCACCAGCTAAACTATGCTGCACAGGGAACTGGTCCTTCCTCTGACTCCTCCTATCCCAGCATCTTCCTGTGTCGCACCAACACTAAGCGTCCTTCACAAACATCGATCAATCCCCCGTGACAGTCGTCTCCACCCACTCCACCCTGTCTGCACTGTCATCTTCACCTCTACACAACAGCAGTTTCATTAAAGACAACAAAAAATTATTTTAATTCAAACACAAAATCTCTAGCAGTGAAAAAAGGAAATAATCAAAAAACATCGGTGTCACTGACCACTTTGTAATTGTCAGTAAATAAAACTTCATGCAGTGTCTGACCTTTTCCTTGTTAAAACAGCCCAGCCAGTCTCCAACCTTCACCTCAAACGTTCTTGAAAGAGCTGTAGCTCAGGAGGTCAATCAGGTCATCTACTTATTGGACGTTGGTGGTTCGATCTGGCTGCTCCAGTCTTGGGCAAGACACTAAATTCCCAGTTGATGCCATTGTGTGCGTGTATGTATGTGTGTGTGTGCATGCGTATGTGTGCATGCGTGTGCGTGTGTGTGCATGTGTGCGTGTATGTGTGTGTGCATGTGTGTGCATGCGTGTGCATGCGTGTGTGCGTATGTGTGCATGTGTGCGTGTATGTGTGTGTGTCACCAAGTGCTTCCTCACTGGAGGTTGTCAGATTGTTGCAGGGTCTTTACGTTAGCTTACAGTTGTCCTGAGGCGACTGCTGGGTGAAGATGAGATACAGTAACACTTTATTAAGAGTATATAGGCTCAAATACAGTGTCCCTTTTAGAAGTCAACATACTTCATTACCAATACATGTGCCATATATGACCTTCTACATATACATATACAGAGATAAAGTGACAATAGAATTATGTTCTGGGCACATCTCATGTTTATATTCACATTCTTATCTTTGACGATGCTAATTTACACAGCAGGAAAAAAGGCCTGACAGCTAGTCGTCAGTTAACAGGCTCAGTCAGTTATTAGTGTCTCTTGTCATCATTCTGAGCATCATATACACAAATCAGGCCTCAGGGTAAAAAGTGGGGAAGAGATAAAATTACAGTTCTCTTTTTTTCTATCGAACATATCTGTTAGCCCGTTTAGGCCTGCTAATTAGTTAGCATCACAGCTAAAACATTATCAGCATTAATAATGAAAAAACAGTAAAACATGCTAAATTTCAGACTCTACTTACTCTAATAAGTGGTGAACTTCTTCAGAGGGATTTAATGACTTTTTAGCAGACTAATTTGTTGGTCAGTAATGTGTTTGTAGCTAACATGTTAGCATGCAGCTAACATGTTAGCATGCAGCTAACATGTTAGCATGCAGCTAACATGTTAGCATGCAGCTAACATGTTAGCATGCAGCTAACATGTTAGCTACACCAAATATCAAAACACAACTTCCTTCTTCAGTGGTGAGCATGAGATAAAATACATGAACGTATTCATTAGCCTGCTAATTTGCCTTAGCAGGCTAATACATTTGTATGAAACTATCTGTAACTACCACGGTATGTTAGGCTAGCAGGTACCATTTAAGCTTAAAATGTTTAAAACTAAAACTTTTAGAGTGAAAGTAAAATGATGCTCTACATTTAAAATTTTTATTTGAGCTTTTTTTAATTAAATACATAATGTGTAAGCTAAAGTGCTAGCGTGGTGGCTACTGCTGCATAACAAGGCTAAAGTGTCAATAAAGTTGCTCTGATAATAGATGAATGTAGTCACAAATAGTTATTTTATAATTAACTCAACAAACTAACACATTACTACTGAATTAGTATTCAGGCACAGCATGCAGTCCTGTGAAAAACTGAGTCCACCCCACGCTTCAGCGGTAAGTAAAACCAGCATTCATTCATGCACAGCTCTCTGAGGTCTGGACTGGACCGCTGCAGCAGCTCCATTCTTGTCTTTTCCAGCCGTTCTGCTGCAGGTTTCCTGCTGTGCTTGTAATCAATGTCCGGTTTGGTCCAAGCTTTAGCTGTGAGACAGACGGCCTCACATGTGAATACTTTGGCATACAGAGTTCATGGTTCATTCAGCGAGCCACCGTGCTGACAGTTGGTACGAGGTGTTGGTGGGGTTTGGAAACCTAAACTGAGAAGAGGCTTTCTCTAGTAACCCTTCCATCCAAACAAAGGGTGGACTTAAGATTTCACAGACTGTGTTGTTGTTCATCAGATTTAAATCACTTTGAAACCAGCTAAGCAGCAGATATGTCGTGTACTTTCTTTTCACTGTGACCACACCTGGACAAACTGAGCAGGTGGGCTGTCTACCAGAAACTCAGTGTTGTCCTCTGAAGAAGTCTGAGTGTTGAAAGACTTGGAGACTGTAGCATCTTCTTCTTGTTTTCACACATACATGACATCCTTTAACAGAGAAGCTGGAGCATGCAGACCAAAGCACGGCACACGTAAGCTCACGGACACAGATTCAAACGTACATGAAGGACCGAACACGACTCGTCATGCAACAGGAGCATGCATCTTTTGTTTCAGCTTGTCCTCATGAAGCAGCGCATTCAGAACAAACTGTACCAGTGGGTGGGGTACGGGGGGCGGAGGGTCATATGTCGGCTAAAACTCGTTTCCATGCACGTAACAGCGCCCCCCGCCCCCCCACAGGAAGTGCCCTGGGTTGGGTGATGGAGCTGCTGGATGTTTGGAGGAGGACGTTTGTTTGTTGGTGAGTTTAATGACAAAGCTTTGCTGTTTCTTATTGTTGCTGTTTCTGCAGAAGACGATGGCGCCCTCTAGTGGTTGGTTGGAAACATCTCTCTGTGATTGGTTGATGAGACGTGAGCAGGTTCCTCTCTTATTTCCAGCCTGAAACGTCTCCATGTGCGCCTCAGTTATTTCAGCTCGTCTCCTCTCGCCATCGCCCCATCACAGCACCATGGTGGGTATGTGGTGAACCAGCGACGCTGGGTGAGGCACGGCGGTCAGCTGGGGAGGGTGAGGAGGAGGCGGCGAGTGCGTCGAGTGCACCCCGCCTCCTCCTCCCACCACCAGTACACCTCCTCCTGGGGCGGCGCTGTCCCCCGTGGGGCGGTGCCTGGCGCTCTTCTGGTGCGCCCGCAAACCAGCCAGCTGCGAGTACGCGGACTGGCAGACGTGGCACTTGTAGGGGCGCTCTCCGGTGTGCAGCCGGACGTGGTTCCTCAGCGTGGACGACTGGCTGAAGCGACGGTTGCAGAAGCGGCAGACGAACGGCTTGTCCAGAGTGTGGATGCGCATGTGGGAGCGAAGGTTGCTGCGAGAGTTGAAGCCGCGGTGGCAGATAACACATCGCATGCGCCCCAGACTGGTGGAAGAGGTGGAGGTCGTGGAGGTGGAGCCTTCACAGGTGTGGAAATCATCTGCAGAGAAGAAGAGCTTCAGACTGAACTCTGAGACCACCCTCTCACCTGTGGAGAGGAACCTTTCAATTCAACTTTATTTATACAGCACCAAATCACAACAACAATCGCCTCACAGCCCTTTATGTTGTAAGGTTCTGCTGGAGGGAGTGTTTCCTCCCCCCGTCCAAGCTACTGCCCCAACAGCACCGCTCTGAAACTTGGCTGCTGCTTCTTCTTATATTATTATTATTATTATTATTATCTTATTATTATTATTATTATTATTATTATTATTATTATCTTATTATTATTATTATTATTATTATTATTATTATAACACTAAATATGTATGGAACTATATATATGTTATTTATTTTTCCTATAATAATGATTATTAGTTCTATGAATAGCAATCCAACAATAATATATTTGAACATACATGCATTTAATTTTTAATTTGTCATTTTATTATATTATTATTATTACTACAAATTTTAAATGTGTACACTTTTATACTAATGTGTACTTTAACTGCAATATTACAATGATATACTTATATTATCCATTATAACACACACACACACACACACACACACACACACACTTTTAATAAAACCAAATATAAAATATACATTTACTTTTTAAATGGTTATTTTTCCAGACTGATTAAAGATAAATTAAATATACATTATTTTTCACACACATTCATAATAATATTAATTTTTATTTTCCAAAATAATATTTTATATCTGAAAGAACTTCATGTGTAACAATAATAATAATAATAATAATAATAATAATAGTAACAGTGTGATGGATTAAGGCCCTTTCGATGACTCCAACACAGATTTAATAAAATATCAATGAAACAATATTTTTGCTGCTGTTTTCAGGGTTCTTGCAGCGCTGCTGGATGTTTGGCTAACTGAGTAGATTTATCAATGACCTCACTGATCAATAATCAATAATGATTACCGCTCTTGGTCTTCTTGCTCTGTTCGTCCTCTCCTCCAGGAATTCCAGGGATTCCCAGGAATGTGTTGTGAGAGTTTCCGTACCAGACGAGCAGCTCCTGGTCGGGAGGGATGGTCTGAGGAGGGAAGAGAAAAGAGGAAGAGCAATAAATACTTGGATCAGCGTTTACTTCATCATAGCAACATTACTGCGTTTCATTATCACAGTATTATTGTTTTATTGTAAATATTTGATTCTTTCTTTCAAACTTGTCATAAATTCTGAAACATTTTCAGAATTTCTGTTTTTCTTTTCTTCAGTTCAAATCTATTTAAATTTCAGCTGCATGTCGTTAACCTTCGAGCATCAGAACCGCCGGAGTGGAGGGTTATGCTCAGACACCTGGAGGAGCCGGTCGAAGAACGGCGCCTGAAATCAGGCCGAGCTTCATCGCTCAAGGATTTATTTTAGAGAACAGGTGACGGCAGCGCGCTGAAGCTTCTCATGTTTCCTTCACGTGGATCTGGAGTCTTATCAGAAGCTTTTCCGAACATGATGAAGCGACGTGGAATAACCAGCACCCTCCTCTGCTCCACTGCTGTTTTGGCTGTTTTGGCTGTTTTGGCTGTTTCTGTGCTGCTTCAGTGACCTTTGTGTGCACGTTTATGGTGTAGGTTAAGAGGCGTGTAGAGTCTGTACAGGTGTGCAGTGATGTTGGGTTTATTCACTGAAACATGGACGTCTTTATTGATTCCTTTGTTGTTCCAGCAGGCGCTTTGATAAAAGCAAAGATAAATACTTCTGAGCAGACATGAGGAGGAAAAGATCCCTGAACCACCAAGAACCTCAGCCTCCAAACCACCAACATCTCACCGTGAACGCAGGTGTACATGTACCTGGGTCACATGATGTCACCCTGCAGGTGGAAGCAGGTGCGATGATACCTGAGGAGCTAGAACATGACCGAGTTTCACTAACCTCCACCGCCTTGTAGAAGATGCTGCTGCCGATCTGGACCACCTCGAGGTTCTGCTCCTGCTCGTTCCTCGCACACTTGATGTACGTCATCCAGCTCCTCTGGTCCTCCTGACTCGCATCGATAAAATACCTGACTGTGCCGTCCTCATTAAACACCTGAGGAGGGAGGCAGGAAGAAGGAAGTAAACACCATTTCCAGCTAAAGTCATTAGGTTAGTGTTCTCACTAGGTGGTTATTTGAAAGACCTCATACACAGATAATAACTAAGCTTTTTGACATGCTAACCAGTGGAACTGCATATGAGGACCAGTTAACAGTTATCATCATGCTAATCTGTTGGTTCAGGTATTTTAATAGCAAGCTAAGAATCAGCATATAAGTTTGTAAGTTAGATTAGCCATGTAACTTGTTGCAAGTAGTTGGATAGTTAACAGTTAACCATGTTGTTGATAAACCAATTAGCTGGCTAGCTAGCAATTGACTTGTTAGTTAGGTGTGAGCTAGCTAGTATGCTAAAATCAAGTCACTAAACTTCTTAACCAGCAAACTTTAAGTTTACTGAGGTTTGTCTGTAAAGGTTCAGCCAGCAGCTAGTTAACACTGGAAATAAGCTGGAAGACTCGATGGTTAGCATCGAGTTAGCCTTCAGGTATTTATTTAGCAAGTATGTTTGCATTTAGCCAGCCACTTGCTCGCTGTGAGTTTTAAAAGTTGACTGGCTGTAGAGTTAGCGGGGAGCTCGTTACTAGTCGGTGACTAATTAAGTAGAGTGTTAAAACTGAGTGAGTTAGTCTGACAGCTGAAAGTCGGCAGACTTAGCTTAAAGGGAGAAAAGACACGGCCCCAGAATCAAGCCTTGGGGAACTCCACATGGGGGCAACACTGAACCTAAAACCTTCCTCTAACAAAGACAAGGTTTTTTGTTTTTAATGATTTATTTATTTATCTTTGAGGAACACAAACAGCTGCTTTCCAGTAGAGGATAACGAAGGGTTATTTTTCATTATGAAACACACAAAGCTGCTCGAGAAAAAAAATCCAAGGAAAAAGAAAGACACCAAAACATGAGAGCTGGAACAGAACAGTCTGCCTCACCTCCCACATCAGGTTGTTGTTCTTGTACAGGTCGATGTGTTCAGGTGACACCAGGCGTCCGGTGAACGGACCCATCTCTGTCCCCGCTTTGATCCAGGTTTTAGAGAAAATGCCCAGACCTTCTCCTGGGACCACAGAAAACAGTAAAGAGGGCGTAAGTAGAACACGGCACCGGTGATTAAAGAGAGACCAGCGAACCCACAGAGGTTTACAGGTGAGCTTACCTGGGACTGAGCTCTGAGCGATGATCACCTCACTGGGTAAAACCAGGCTGGACAGCTTCTGCACCTCTGGACACAAACACAGCGCGCAGATTTTCATGTCAACATGTGTCACTCCTGCTTCTACAATTGGAATTCAAAAATGAAAACAGAAATGACAGCGCTGCTTCGAACTTTTTAAACGCATTTTAAACTGCGTCGGAAACGCTCGGAGCGCATTTTTCTGCCGGTTTATGGATGAAAAAGTCCCCGAAAGATGAATACCTGATGGAAGCAGGAGGAAATGTTCCCGATAACACGTCTACAATCAGGAAAACCCCCGGGACATTATACGGGAGAGCAGAAGGAGCGCGCGGGGAGAGAAAAGCGGGAGTAAAGGCGTGAAGATGAAAGCTGAGGCCGCCGCGGGAAAACGCGACACGTCCGTCGGAGAGTTGACCCGGAGCATCCACCCGAAGCCCGGCCGCTCCTCCTAAATTATCCCCAACGAACTTCACCCAGAACGGAAACGAATTTCACAATAAAATCACATTAAAATAAAAAAGAAGTGAGCGCGCGACAGCGAGAAACGGGCCGCGGCTCGCGCTTTGAAAGAGAGATCACGGACGTGATTACCGATCAGCAGCCAATCAGTCAGCAGCTGTTTGTTCAACAAATCATCCAAAGAATTTGATCAAATCTGATCAGTTATTGATGAGGATAATTAGCAACAAACGAACAAGAATCAATATTTTAAATTCATATTTAAACAGTTTAACGGATTTATTTTAAATACGAGTTTAAATTAAATCTTTTTTCTGTTTCATTAAAGATTTTTATCTTTTTCGTTTTAGGCTCCAAAATTTAAATTTATGCGACACTTGTGTAAATATTTACAAATATTTACAAGTATTTGTAATATAGAGAATGAATAAAACGAGTAAAAAAACAGAAGAAGAAATGTGATCAATCAATCAAACAATTATTATTGTTGTTGTTATTATTAATAATAGTATTATATTATTAATAATAACAACACTTATACTACTCTGATTTATTTTATTATAGTAATATAAGTAAAATAATATTTTGTGTGTTTGTTTTTTGTGTTGTGTGATGTGTGGACATACTGCAAATCAATTTGGAGACAATAAAGTTACCACTGACAGTATTATTATTATTATTATTATTATTATTATTATCATTATTATTATTATCATCATCATCATCATCATCATTATTATTATTATTATCATTATCATTATTATTATTATTATTATTATTATTAATATTAATATGCTTGTTGTTATCTGGTGTCTCCGTTTCTGAGCTGTACGGTTGGTCACTGACCTCCGGAGAAGGACTGCGCGAGCACCTCGGCGGTGAACGCGGTCTTGGGGCTCGCGCTCGGGGCGGTGCGGTCCTCGTGCTGCAGGTGATGCTGGTGCGGGTGCTGCTGCTGCTCGCCCAGCACGTGCCTCCAGCGGCCGTACAGGAAGCTGTGCAGGATGTCCGAGGTGATGATGTCCGCGAGGGACAGCGGAGGCTTGAAGCCCGGCTTCAGGCCCAGAGAAGAGCCGGGCAGCACGGAGCCCATGGCGGGGAGAGCCGAGGGGAGAGCCGAGGTCAGAGCCGGGGTCAGAGCCGGGGTCAGGGAGAAATCGTCCCGCTGAACAAATTAAAAAAAAAAAACACACAGTCAAAAACTCCTGTTTTCCACCGACCGAGGCGCGAGGAGGAGACGCAGCAGAGGAGAGCAGAGGAGCAGCTCGCGTCTCAGTCAGAGGTGAAGTTTAAATCCTGAGAGGAGCAGGAGCAAAGCGGGCGCGGGCCGTGTGGGGGGGTCTTTATATGGAGCTCCATCACCTCCTCCTCCTCTAACAGGGGGAGGGGGGATCCTGCACGCGCTGTTATTGGCTCAGTTTACAGCTCGGCTCGTGACACCGACACCCCACCGGGAGGAGCGGAGCCGGGCCGGTACTGGACCGAGGCCCCGCGGAGGTCCAAGCCCTCTTAGGGCAGGACCTCATAGGGCAGGTGTTCACGCATGCGCAGGTCAGCTTCCTGGCGCGTGTTTCAGAGCTCACCTGCTCCTGCCTGAAGGCAGGGTTGGTAGTTTGATTTCAGCCCGCAGGTTAGGCTCATGGGCAGCTGATCAAACAAACAGCTGATCGTTAAAAACAAAAACAGGAAATATTTCAGTTTACAACTACGTCACAAAACTGGGCGGAGACTAAAAGCGATAAAAAAAAATCAAATCATCAATCAAATATGAGAAAAATGATCCCAACATCAGACTGAGACCCGCCCACAGCTCAGAAACTGTTACTGATGATAAACTGATGACTGATACGTTGTTATCATTTTAATCAAGCTGACACAACAAATGTGTCATTTGTGTGTTTGACATTCAATCAAACGCAGATTTCTTCTGTTTAACAGGTTTGAAAATGAAGCGCAGGAATGTGTGTGTGTGTGTGTGTGTGTGTGTGTGTGTTTGGGGGGCTGAGTGACAGAGCAGAAAAACCGATTAGAGGACAACAGCTGCTTTCTTCATCACCTCCTCCTCATCCTCCCGCTGTCTCTCAACAGGATTATGATTCTCTCGCTCACTCTGATCTGTATTTATGAGCTTTTAAACATTTATTGTCCTCACACACACACACACACACACACACACACACACAGCGTCATGAAGTGTGTGTGTGTGTGTGTGTGTGTGTGTGTGTGTGTGTGTGTGTGTGTGTGTGTGTGTGTGAGTGATCTTAATATTTGTACTTATTTAAATGTAAATATAAAATCTGACATCAATCTGCTCCGGGACTCCTCGGTGTCTCCTCCCGGGCTCGGTGACTCCTCCGGCGGCCTCGGCCCCGGGACTCCCCCGCCGCGCGTTCCCGGAGCAGAGCAGGGATTTGCTGACGGGGACGCGCATGTATTGAAGCGGACACGCTTTAATGAGCTTCTCCGACAAAAAGGCCCGTGAGCGTGCCCGGTGTCCTCGCGCCTTTATCCCGCTCTTCACGGCCAATCAGGATCCACTTTAGGCGGGAAGTCAGGGGCGGGGGGGCGGCAGGTGACTGGCACGCGTGAAGACAAGAGGGGGAGGCGGGGAGGAGGTGAAAGGAGAGGTGAGGAAGAGGTGGTGGGAACGCGCACAAATGGCGCACTGATATTGTTCCGCTAACGTGATTAAGCAGCGCTGCGGCCTCATTAGTATTCATGCGGCGCGCAGACGGAGCCGCAAATAATCCGCGTTTAAAAGCGCGTTAATGAGCTCAGCTGCGCGAGACTCCTCCCTCCGAGCCTCATCATCACCACCACCATCATCATCCTCCTCTGCTGTCAGAGGTCAGAGGTGATCGTCTTTCTGTTAAATTCAGTTTTTTTGAGACAAACCTGAGCCCTGCTGCGTGAGACTGTAAATAAAAGATGGCGTTAAACGTGATCTTCTGAGGCTGTTGTCTCCGCCCTCCTCCACCAACGACCACACGGAACCACCCAATCGGAGGTCGATCCGAGTTCGGCTCAACGTGTCGGCATGTTTCAGTGTTCCATGCGTGGAGCTGCTCAGGTTCAGGTTCGCTGTAAGTTGGAAAGTAACTTGAGCTCTGTCAGGTTGTAATAGAGTACATGTACTCTTAGTACTTACGTTTCTAAGACGAACCGATGCTTAGAAATGTTTCTGCTCCGCGTGGTCATGTGACCCGGGGTGCTGAGGCAGAGCGTCTCCTCGGTCCTTATTTCTTCATCGTTTTCGAGGTTTCCAGACAAACTTCTCGCCTCACGCTCCTTCAACATGGTTTCAAGCAGAGGTCAAAGTTCAGCAGGGCGCTGCGAGCACAATTCAAACATGAGTCTGAGGTTCAGTGCAGCGCAGAACACCTCCATCGCTCACATCAGGTGCACATCTGGTCTGCAGCTGTTCAGAAACAGAGGACGATGACGTCGCTCGCTGTGTGTCTGTGACATCACTCATATGTTCTCATTATTATTCTTTTATGTTATCGTCACTTCAGTTTAACTTTGGTGCCAACGACAGTAAACGTCAGTCTGCAGCTGTTTGGGCTGGTGTGTGCACGGAGGGGTGGGCGGTACAGACATGCAGGTACGTGTTAAAGACAAGTCACGCTTCCTTTGGAAGGATGTTCACCTGCTCACATCAAAGCTTTTTCCTCATTTCAAACTCATAAGATGAAGCAGCAACTGCGGGAGCGTCCACAAACGTGTGGTCTGGACCATCCGGAGCAAACAAAGCCTGGATGATGAACGCGGCGTCACGCTGCTCTGTAACCTCGGCTCTTTGCCTCGTGAAGGGTTAATGTTCATTGTAATGTTGTCATATCAGCGGGACAAACATCGACCGCAGGACTGAAACCGCACGAGTGCAGGCTTTTAGAGCAGCGCATTAATGAACACTGAGTCACGCGTCCACATACTTCTGCCCCCTGCAGCGAGGCTGGCAGACACATTATTGGCCTGCTGGTCTCCGAGCTTCGGGGAAAAGGTTTGGACTGGGTCCAGATCACCATTACTTTAATGTTTAATCAGGCCTGCCACAGACTCAGGGTTCATCTGTACTTACCGAGCTGCTTCCTGTACTTTACGACCGCCAACACTCTGCTCTGCACCGCAGCACACACTCACGCCGGTCCAGCTGTCTCTGTGAGGACCCGCGGCAGTATAATGCAACATCGGGACTGTGGCGCTGACCCTGAGCTGGATTCTACCGTGAGCGCGAAACGTGTTCAGATACTCGGCCCCTGTGCAGGTGTCTGAGGATGGCACACGAAAACCTTCCATGAAGTCATCAGACGATAAGGAAACGTCCTCATTCTTTGATAAGTTAACAAAAGAATTGATAGCTGCCAGTTTCATACTGAATAATTACTGAAGTGCTGCACTCAGTGACTGCAGGGTCCCCCGAGGACGCTAATGACACCACAGTCCCCACAAAGGCACATATACGAGTACACCTACACTGGCAGTAATAACAGCTCTCACGTTTTCCCTCCATCTTCATCACTTCAAACATTTTTCACTCTGTTCAGCGCAGTGCCAACAAACGCCTGTCGGTCAGCTTCAGGTCACGCTCATCGTGAAACAGAGGCCATCTTTGAAACTTGTTGCTCCTGCAGGAGGCCGTGTTGGGGCGGGGCTTTTAACTCTGCTCAGGTGCCCGGCGCCTCGAGCTGCAGACCTGATGGATCACCGTTATTGATCCCCGGGGATCTGCAGGCGTGTGATTACAGTAATGCCCTAATGATGGATGACATCAGGCCGTCACTCAGACCATCTGTCTGCGCTCCGGGAACATGAATAAATGATAACTCCCACTTTTCATGTGAGAAGAGCTGCTATGTATTTGTGAGGACCAACTCCACACCAGCTAATGAAAATTCAGAATCTAACAGACGAACAGAAAAATGTCTGAAGTCTGAGCTTTGACCCAAGATGTCCCAGCTTTCCTCAGATGGCTCAGGAATCTTCCCGGGTCTTCACAAACATCCGGCTGAAAACTTTAAACGTTGCAGGTTCTGAAGGTCCGCCTCTGTGACAAACACGTTTTAACTGGAAGTTTGAAATCCATCTGAAAGATTTGGACCGGTTGGCTGAGGCGCAGACTGCAGAGGAGACTTGGATTCGGATGATTCCAGCACAGCAACGAGTTTTAAGGTCAGTAAGAGTAAACCTTCAATCAGTTTCCTGACAGCAGAAAATCGATGCCACGTTTGGCAGTTATGGCTCAGATATGGCAAACTCAGCCTAGAGTGGGTCAAAGGAAGCTGTTTCTATGGAAACGATGAGTTTGGTTGTGTTGATGCACGCTCAGTCATCCAGGTAAGGAAAAGGAAAAGGTTGATTCTGTTCATCTGGATGTTTTCAGACAAACGTTTCATCATCATCAGGTGACTCCTTCAGTCTCAGCTGACTGCAGGGTTCAACCTTATGAACAGGACATTGTGCTGGGAGGTCAGTTTATCATCATTAACATGCAAATTCGTATGTCCACTGATCAATGTCCATGAGAACCGTTCACACAGAGCGGCTGCAGCATCGTTCATCAGTGCTGCACGTGTCAGCCATTGTGCAGATGTCCTGTTTATAAGGTTGAACCCTGCAGTCAGCCAGCACTGAAGGAAACGTCCAGATGAACAGAATCAAGTTTTTTGGATGGTTTGCTGCTTGTTTACAGGCTGCTGTGGGAACCGGCCAACAAGGCTCTCAGCACTGCTGTTTGAGAACATCTGGGCAGGACTCGTCCGGAGCAGCGGCCGTCCACGCAGCTCGTTCACGTTGACCCCATCTGAAGAGGCTGAACCTAAAATAACACCAAGCACAAACTGACGGGCGGTTTCTGTTTCAGACCAGGACTAAAGCACTGGGTTTGCATCAAAAGTGTCAGGACTCATTAAAGGGAATCAAACGTCACAGCGGGTTTATGTAGAGATGGAACAAAGACTTCATGATGAACGGGTTTGTCCCGTGGCTGCAGCTCTCAGCAGCTGAATGTTTGATGTGAATGCACAAAGACACAGTCAGAAAGAATGAGCCCATTTATTAACCCTCATGTTAATCATCATCCTCGACCACCGACAGTCTCGTGGCTCGGGTTCATACACAACTCTATCTGTCAATAGAATCTAATAGAAAAATCTGCAGGTTACAGTTAGGACGTCTGTCCATTAGAAAAACAACAGAAACCATAAAACCAAAAAGCTCCCCGTCCCCCCTTCAGGACCGGGATCAGTACTGGGAAGTTCTAGGCCAGAGTGGAGCGAGCGTCGTGTCCGGTTCAGGTCC